AACCATCACCACTATTAATCTCCACAGCTTTTTTCAGCTTCCCAAACGGAAGCTCTTTAACCAATAAAAAGTAGCTTCCTAATTCCATCCCCCATCCCCACCCCAAATCCCTACCAGGCCACCACCATTCTACTTTGTCTCTTGGAGAGCTCTGAATCCTAACCACTAGACCACCAGGTTCTGTTTCTTTGATTTTTGACTTCCTTAAATACCTCATATAAATGGAATCATACATTCTTTGTCCTTTTGTGACTAGCTTATTTTACTTAGCTTAATGTCTCACAGGCTCATTTGTGTTGATTTCCTTCTTTTTTCTTTTTTGTAAATGTTTGTCTATTTTGAGAAAGAGTGTGTGCACACAGACCCTTGTGAGCTGGGGAGGGGCAGAGAGGGAGAGAGAATCCCAAGCAGGCTTCTCGCTGTCAGCGCAGGGCCCTATTGCTGGCTCCATCCCACAACCATGAGATGATATTGACCTGAGCTGATAACCCACGGAGCAACCCAGGCACCCCTCCTTTTTTTAAGGCTGAATAATATTCCAATGTATGTGTATGCCACATTTTGTTGATCCATTCATCTGTAAATGGATGCTTGGGTTGCTTCCACGTTTTGGCCACTGTGAATGATGGTGCTCTGGACATGGGTGTACAAATATTTATTTCGGTCCTTGCTTTCAGTTCTTGTAGGTATATACCAGAAGCGGAGTTGTTGCATCACATGGTAATTTTATGTTTAATTTGTTGAGGGAATGTCATACTGGTTTCCACAGTGGCTGCACCATTTTACATTCCTACCATCAGTGTGCGAGGATTCCAATTTCTCTATATCTTGCCAACACTTTGGGTGTGGTTTTATGTTTTTGTTTTGATAGAAATCATTTTAAATGGGTGTGAAGTGATATCACATTGTGGATTTGATTTGCATTTCCCTAATGATTAGTTATGTTGAGCATCTTTCATTTGTTTATTACCCATTTGTTTATCTTTGGAGAAAAGTCTAGTTAAGTCCTTTGCCCATTTTTGAATTGGGTTGTTTCTATGTTAAGTTTTAGGAGCTCTCCATCTTTGCTGGATAAAGTCTCTATTAGATATGTGATTTGTGGGGTGCCTGGGTGGCTCAGGTGGTTAAGCGTCCGACTTTGGCTCAGGTCATGATCTCGAGGTCCAAGAGTTCAAGCCCCACCATTGGGCTCTGTGCTGACAGCTCAAAGCCTGGAGCCTGCTTCAGCTTCTGTGTCTCCCTCTCTCTCTCAGCCCCTCCCCTGCTCGCACTCTGTCTCTTTCTCAAAAATAAATAAATGTTAAAAAATTTATTAAAAAAAAGATATGTGATTTAAAAATGTTTTATCCCATTCTGTGGGTTGCCTTTATACTCTGTTGGTGGTGTCTTTTGATGCACAAAAGGTTTTAATTTGATGAAGCCCAACTTGATCTCTCTTTTTCTTTTGTTGCCAGTGCCTTTAGTGTTATATCCGAAGAATCATTGCCAGATCCATTGTTATGAAGCTTTTCTCCTATGTTTTCTTCTAAGAGTTTTAGTTTAGCTCCAACATTTAGTCTTTCACCCATTTTGAACTGTTGATTGTGGTATTAAGTAAGGGCCCTTCATTCTTTTGCATGTGGATATCCAGTTATACCAGCACCCTTTATTGAAAAGGCTGCCCTTTCCCCCATTGAATGGTCTTGGCACCCTTACTGAAAATCATTTGACCATATGGGTAAGGGTTTTCTCTGGGTTCTATTCCTTTCTGTTGGTGAATAAGTCTATGTTTAATGCCAATATCACATTTGTTTTTGTTTTTTTACTTTTTTAAAGTTTATTTAAGTTTATTATGAGAGAGAGAGAGAGCACGTGTGTGTGTGTGTGTGTGTGTGTGTGTGTGTGTACATGTGTGTACATAAGCAGGGAAGGAGCAGAGAGAGAGGGAGACAGAATCCCAAACAGTCTCCACACTGTCAGCCTGGAGCCCAGACTCTGGGTTTAATCTCACAACCGTGAGATCATGACTTGAGACAAAATCAAGATTCGGACGCTAACCTACTGAGCCACCCAGGTGCACCAATGCCAAGAATACACTGTTTTGATGCCTTGTAGCTTTGCAGTAAATTTTGAATCAGGAAGTGTAAATTCTCCAATTTTGTTCTTTTTCAAAGATTACTTTTGGCTTTTTGGGGTCCCTTGAAGTTCCATATGAATTTTAGTGGGTAGATTTTTCTATTCTTGCAAAAAATGGGATTTTGTAAGGGTTATATGAGATCTGTAGATTGCTTTGAGTAGCATTGACTTCATAACTAAAAGTCCTCCAATCCACGAACATTAAGGTGTTTCTCCATTATGTTTTTAATTTATTTCAACAATGTTTTTTGTAGTTTTCAGTGATTAAGTTAATCTTCTTAGCTATTTCTAAGTATTTTTTTGATGCTATTGTAAATTGAATTGTTTTTCTAATTTTTTTTTTACAGATAGTTCATTGTCAGTGTATAGAAACAACTGATTTTTGTGTGTTGAATTTGAATCCTGCTACTTTTGCTGAATTTGTTTATTAGTTCTAACAGGTGTGTGTGTAATCTTTAGAATTTTCTACATGTAAGACTATCATCTGGGAGCAGATAGTTTTACTTTTCCAATATGGATGCCTTTACTTCTTAAAAAAAATTTTTTTTAACGTTTATTTGTTTTTTTTTTTTTAATTTTTTTTTCAATGTTTTTATTTATTTTTGGGACAGAGAGAGACAGAGCATGAACGGGGGAGGGGCAGAGAGAGAGGGAGACACAGAATCGGAAACAGGCTCCAGGCTCCGAGCCATCAGCCCAGAGCCTGACGCGGGGCTCGAACTCACGGACCACGAGATCGTGACCTGGCTGAAGTCGGACGCTTAACCGACTGCGCCACCCAGGCGCCCCTAACGTTTATTTGTTTTTGAGACAGAGACAGAGCATGAACAGGGGAGGGTCAGAGAGAGAGGGAGACACAGAATCTGAAACAGGCTTCAGGCTCTGAGCTGTCAGCACAGAGCCCGACGCGGGGCTCGAACTCACGGACCGCGAGATCATGACCTGAGCCGAAGTCGGCCGCTTAACCGACTGAGCCACCCAGGCACCCCTGGATGCCTTTACTTCCTATGCAATTGTTCTGGTTAGAACTTCCAATACAATGTTAAATAAAAGTGGTAAAAACAGCCATCCTTGTTGTCTTGATCTTAAAGGAAGAGCCTTCAATCCTTCATCATGAGTATGATTCTAGCTGTGGGCTTTTCATAAATGCCTATATCAAGTTGAAAGTTTCTTTCTATTCGTTTTTTGAGGGTTTTTTTTTTTTTTATCATGAAAGTTATTGGATTGTTTCAAGTGCTTTTTCTGCTTTTTCCCCCTCTATTTTACTTTGATTTTCAGATGTTGAATCAGCCTTGCATTCTTGGGATAAATCCTATTTGGTCATGTGGTATACTTTGCTTAATATGCTGGTGGATTTGGTTTGCTAATTTTTTGAGGATTTTTTTTTTTTTGGAGAGGGTATCCATCTTCATAAAAGATGTTGCTCTATTGTTTGCTTTACTTGTGTGATGTGTTTATCTGGCTTTGGTATCAAGGCATGCTAGAACGAGTTAGCAAGTATTCTCTCCTCTTCAATTTTTTGGAAGAATTTGAGAAACATTTATATTATTTAAATGTTTAGAATTCACCACAAAGCCATCAAGTTCAGGGTTTTTCTTTGTCCTGGAGGCTTTTGATTGCTGACTCGGTCTCTTTTACTAGTCACAGGTCTGTACAGATTTTCTTTCTCTTCATGATTCAGTGTTGGTAGGTTTTGTCTTTTTGGGAATTTATCTATTTCATTTAGGTTATCCAAACTGTTGGCATAAAATTGTTCATAGTGCTCTTATAATCTTTTTCATTTCTGTAAAACTGATAGTAATGTCCTCACATATTTTTCTTGGTCAATCTAGCTAAAGGTTTTGCAATTTTGTTAATCTCTCCAAAGAACTAACTTTTGGTTTCTTTGATATTTTTCTAATATTTTCTTCCTTATACCAGCTTAGGGTTAGTTTGTTCTTTTTCTAGTTCCTTAAGGTGTAAAGTTAGGTTGTTCATTTGAGGTTTTTTTTTTTTTAATTATAAGCATTTATAATGCTTATTTTTATTTTTTAAATATTTTTAATTTTTTTTAATATTTATTTATTTTTGAGAGAGAGAGAGCATGTGAACAGAGGAGGGGGCAGAGAGAGGGAAACAGAGGATCCAAGAAGGTTCTTTGCTGTCAGCACAGAGCCCAATGCGGGGCTCTAATTCACGAACTGTGAGGTCATGACCTGAGCCAAAGTCAGACGCTTAACTGACTAAGCCACTCATGCATCCCGAAATTCCATTTTTAAGAGGGACATTGTATAGAATATTTCGTATTTAAGTTCAGCATTATTTTTACTTCTCTGATTTTTATAATAGAATTTTTCATTTTCTGAAAATCCTGATTTCTCACAATATTGTTTTAAAGCGATTTTATCATGGAAAGCAACACTCAAACAGAAAAGTGCATTTAAGTAAGTGTACAGCTTAATGAATTATTACAAAGTGAAGACCTCTGAAACATTGCCACCACCATAGCAGCTCCTCCAATGCCCCTTATCATTGTCCCCTCCCTCCCCTCTAATATAACTTGTAGCCCATTATCTGTACATAACTTCTTTGAATTCCTCTATTTCTGCTCTGTGATGTTTCTGTAATTGGTGTAAAAGCTGAAATTGCTTTCTTAAATTTGCTTTCTTTGTGTGTGTGTGTGTGTGTGTGTGTGTGTGTGTTTGAATGTTGCTCATTTTTCCTTGCTCTGTGGCAATATTTTTTCTGGTGATTTTTTTTTTCTTTTTGAGAAATTACAATCATTAATTTCTGTTTTGGTGTTTAAGTGTCTTTTATGGATACTGTATTTTTTACTTATGCATTGGTTTTCATATTTGAATGGATTGGTCTTTTCTTGACTGTTCCAGTGGATGAATAGATGGGAGATGGTGGGGTTGCTTTTCCAGTTTCTCAGCTCAAGAACTATCTCTAATGCTACAGTAATGGGCAGCTTTAAAAAAATATGATTCTTGGATCCTGTCCTGTTTCTACCACCATTATCTTCCTTTCTTTCCTTCACACCAATTAGTCACCAAGGAATACTGCCTCGGACTTCCAAGCCAGTCCCCCACCATTGTTAAAAGTCTGCCTCTTTTCCTTCCTTCCTCCAATGCTTGATCTCAGACTTGTCCACAGCAGTTCCAACTCAGGTGAGACCCTCTTCTGTAGGTAAATATTTGCAGATGGTTTCTAAGTTGTGCTACAGCCATGACCCATCTGAAACTTTGTGGGTTTCTTAAAAAAAATTTTTTTTTAATGTTTATTTATTCTTGTAAGAGAGACGGTGCAAGTAGGAGACAGGCAGAGAGAGAGGGAGACACAGAATCTGAAACAGGCTCCAGGCTCTGAGCTGTCAGCACAGAGCATGACACAGGGCTGGAACCCATGAACTGTGAGATCATGACCTGAGCGGAAGTCGGACGCTCAACCGCTTAACGGACTGAGCCACCCAGGCGCTCCTGTGGCTTTCTTATTATGCTGATTTTGGATGTTCTTTCACCCTCACACTTAAATATAATCTTTGAGGGTTTTCTCAGTTTTGCTGAAGGTATAGGTTGTGGAATATTTTATTTGTTTTCTTTGTTGCTTTTCATGAGATAAACAAAAACATGCCAAGGGAAAAAAAAAATGGCATGAGGCACATCTAGGCTTCCACTGTGCTCCCATCAGCCGGACCTGCATCTCAGAAAGCCCAAACTGGAGAATGGCTTGGAGGCAGGATAATCCAGGCAAGAGATATTGGAGGCCTGGATGAGGGTGGGAAGGAGGGAAAGTGGAACTGGAATTTGAACTAGAGTGAATTTCACCTGACTCTCTCTCTCTTCAAGGATACTGAGAAGTCCATGTCCATCTTGGACACGTCTCCATCTCCTGGAAGCAGTGGAGTGGACACCTCTTGGAATGACAGCCCATCAGACACTCAACACTTCCCTCAGTGCACACAGCTGGAGAGGATCCCCTTGGCCTTGACTGAGGCACCCAGGCAGAATGCAAGTGATATGGGACAACAGTTCAGTATGTTGTTGCCAGAGCATGGCGTGAGCTACTGCTCCCAAGTGATTCACACTCCTTCCCAGATGATTTACTGTGAGGGGATGTCTCCCTCCCAGCCAGGAATGATGATTTTCAAGAGGTCCCAGATGATGGCCTTAGGAGAACCCAGTATTCCAGGGATGGCCATGAACTTTTGTAAGAATCTAAGGATGCCCTCCAGTGGTCTGCCAGTCTCAGCTCCCAATGGAATCTCAATGATGTCCCACATCAATGCACCCACAATTTCTTATTCTGGCCCACCAACGGTACCTTCTAATAGAGACTCTATAACACCTAAAATGGTATTGGCCCCAACCATGTCTTCTACTGAGGCTCAGGCAATGCTCCCTTCTTTGGCTCAGATGTCACCCCCTAGAGATCCCCATGATTTTAGGATGCGCCCAGCTGGGTCCCCATCATTGCAGGCTTTAAAATCCCAGTACTCTCTCATGAGCCAGCCAGCCTCCCCGGAAGACTCCTTCCTACCCAAGCAGCCCATACAAGCTCCACAGCGAGCGGAGCGGAACTCCAGGGCCCAGGAAAGGGCTCCCAGGAGATCCCCAGTTTCAAGGCCTTACTCCTGCCAATATGAGAACTGTGGAAAAGCCTATACTAAGCGCTCCCACCTCGTGAGTCACCAACGCAAACACACAGGTGAATGAAGTGTCAGATAGGAGGGGTAGGGTTGGGTGGGGTGGAGGAGTCTCTGGGCTTTAGATTTGTGCTGGACCACTGGTTTGTAATGCCTTGAGGTTAGCTTGTCATCCTTCAAGTTTGCAGTCAAGCTATATTGGCCCCACCAATTTGCTTTCCCATGGTCCAGTGTGACTGTGTCAAGATCATGGGGACTACTGATGGTGTTGCCTCCTCATTACTTTCCTGTGGTTTTCTTTTGGTTTCTCAGCCTTGACTGCTCTTCCTCATAGAGTGAGACTCCTTCCTATGCACCTGCTGGCCTATTGTTAAACTTAATTTCTTCTGTCCCTTGTCACCCCCTCCCCCCAGGTGAGAGGCCTTATAAATGCATGTGGGAAGGCTGTACATGGTCTTTCTTCCGTTCCGATGAGCTTGGACGACATATGAGGATACACACCAGATATCGACCATATAGATGTGATCAGTGCAGCCGACAGTTCATGAGATCTGACCATCTCAGGCAACACCAAAAGACTCATCTGCGGGTGCCAGGATCCCCAGACCCACAGACGAACAATGAGAAAATGGCTGGTCCTCCTGCTCTTGTTCTTTAGGTCAATCTCTCTCTTTATTTTAGCTTCTCCCAGATCCTGCCTGCCTCTGACCAGCTAGTCTCTGGAAGGTGTAGGCTTAGATGAAGACAGAGAAAGATTATGAAGTGGTGTTAAAGCCTATATGAATTCTGGACCCAATCAGAGACTTCTCAAAAACCGTCTTGCATGCCCTCACCTCTCTGGGGCCACCTACTTTTCCCAAGTTTAGCCTCATGGGAAGATGGAGGAAAGTAGAAATTGGAAGCTTTATAAGAAAGCTCTTTATCTTATATCACTCCCCAGCTTAAAACCCTTTAGTGACTCTCTTTTGCCTGCTATGTAAAATCCAACTTCCTTATCTTGGTCTTCTATAGTTTCCAGAGCCAGACTATGCTCAAATCCTGAATTTACCATCTACTAGCCATGTGACCTTGGGAAAGGTCCTTGATCACTTTACCATGTTTCCTCTTCTGGTAAATGAGAAAAACAGTATTGGACTGCTTGGGACACTTATGTACAGAATCACATTCTCTCTGGTATTCATCAGCCATAAGCCCAGAGATTGTCTTGTCCTACAGCTTCCAGACTTGCATGGAATGTCCCACTTCAGGACATGGGATCTGGCATCTCAAATTGCCATTAACAACCCAGAAGTGTGCGGGAGTTAATGCTCTTGGAATAACATTTGACTAATGGAAGATGGAAGAGAGTCAGGCAGATAAATTCCTTCTTCCCTCCCTTTCCTCAATTGCCACAAGGCACTCTTTCCCCAAAATGTACAGCCAATGGGAAGACCTCCCATGTAGCCAATGGACACACCTATGGTGTTTCCTCAAGGCTTGTCATGAAGCAGGACCCAACTGCTATCAATTTGCATTACCACTAGTTCTCCCTGCCTTGCTTCCCTTTACTTAGTGCCCGGGGTTTGCAGTTCTCAAATAAAACATCAGCACTTAGTTCTTGTTTTAGGCTCTGTTTTCTGGGTGACTTGGGGGTGGAGGACATTAGACTGGGGCAGAGAAGGAAGAGCCCTATTGTAATTTCCCCTCCTCCCTTCACTGAGCCCAGGTACGTGGACTACCAAATACCAGGTATTAAAGGCCCTGTCCTACCTCGTTCTTCCCCTAGGGCTGAGAGCATAATGACTCTCCTGGATACTCAGATAGTTTTGAACCTCTGTTTCTGGACTTCTCAGCTAGCCATTACACTGACCAGCAAGCTAATAAAAAGGAACTTGCCCAAACTCTCAGGTGGCAGAACTGGGATCCCAACCAGAATCTCTCTACTCTAGAGATGATACCTTCTGCTGATATTGCCAAGCACTTCCAGGAGATGGCCACAGAAAGACGAATCAGGTCCAGTTCCTGTGGCCAAGGGGCCATCTTGCTCTAGGGCAGAGAAGTCCACCTAAGTGAGGTGGCCATGGAGAGGGGGAGCACCTAAAGGGGAGGATCAGAAAGGCTATCTGGGGGAGGTGACCCTTGAGCTCAGGGAGTATATGTAACATCTAGTAATCCCTATTGTTGTAATAAATTAAGCAGGTGAATGAAGAGGAAAGAATTCGACAGAATGCTGGACCAACACAACTGCTCAGAGGAGAGTCAACCTGCAAGCTTCCATTCATTTGACCAATGTTCTTTGAGCCCACTACAAAGAGCATCACAGCTGTGGGGACTCATGGTGAGGGGCACAGAGTCAATGGAAGGGTGTGTCAGGGAAGAAAGACTTCTCAAAGAGGTGCCTGAGTCAGACCCGAAGAGCTTGTGGAGGTTAACTAACCTCCCATTTCCTGGATGTCTACCCTTGGCCATGCCCTGTGTTGGACACTAAGGACTCAGAGCATGACAGTGCCTTGCAGTGGAGCATAAAAACCACAGATAAACATTCTGAAATCACTTAATGTTGCCATGGAGAGGAGCCAAACCTCTGTGGGCTCAAATTTATCTGGGCATTGTGGAAGTCCCACAGATTTGGTGACACCTGTCACCCTCATCCCCACCCTGACCCCTTCCTGCATGGCCACCTTGGTCTGTTCCCCTAATGGCCCCAGCGTACCTGGTCTAGGCATCCAGGTGCCCTCTACCCAAACTCTGAGTGAGGGGAGTAGGCATGATAAATAAGGGCAGGGGGTGCTTGTTTGTGCCCCAATGACTTACCCCAGGTCTCAAGTGCCTGAAATCTCTTAAATTCCCACCTGGGCACTAGGTCCCTTCTGTGAAGTGGAACATCTCAAGCTCAACGGGCCAGGGCTGGTCTCCATACCCTGCCCCAGCTGGCTTACACTTATCCCTGCCGGTAAGGTCAGCAGGCGAGATTGCTTGTTGGGCCTCAAGAGAGAGAGGTCTGTTGATGACCCATCACTCTCATCAAGGAATGGAACTGAGAGGAGCCAAAGTGGGCAGGGGTGTGCCACATACACTACATTGGTGGGCAAAACAGGTGCCTGCCCCTGTGGAGGTCACAATCTAGTGGAGGAAGGACATAGAAGTGTATGGAATGCGGTGAGGACAAATATCAGGGACTTGCTGTAATAGGACAAGGGGGCTCCCTAAGGAAATGTGGTTTGAGCTCAGAGGTAAGGACTAACTGGGAGTTAGGCAGGTAAGGAGGTGAGGAGGTGATTGGAAGAGAAAATTCAGTCTATCTTTTATTTAGAGGTTACCTTATGGCAAGCCTTGGCTAAGCCTGTCTCGGTATTATCTTATTCAACACTGGGCAGCATAGTGGGTGGGGTAAAGACCTTGTGGGCTCCCAAGTAAGAAGTAGATTTTGAATCCTGCCTCTGCCATTTCCTGGCTGTGTGGCCTTGGGGAAGTTATTTATCTCTGCACCAGACAGCAAGGGGCAAGGTTCAAGCTAAGGAGGATTCAAGGGGACACCTTCAAGCTAAGGAGAGAATTAGTTACATTGAAAAGGTTTCTTCTGCTTAAGGGAGAGGGAGTGATTTCAGTGTTCCAGGTGAGAGTGGAAGGTGCTTGGGCGGGTGTGGCAGTGTGGCTGGAGAGTAGCAGAAAGATTTGCGAGGAAATCAACCTAGGTGATAGCTGGATCAAGGATGACTCCTGGTTTATAGCTTGTGTTATAAGTGACACAGAAGGAGAATGGATGAAATTCATTTAAATTATTTTTCTATTTTTAAATTGTTGATGTCTCATGCAAAAAATAGTTTGCTTATATCATTTAAAGTAATAACTTATTTGCCCTTATGCCGCCTTTGAAGCCTCTGTGTTCCCCACTGACCACATTCCTCATCTTCTGCAGAGGCTCCTGAAGTTTGGTTAATCTTGTGTTTGCTTTTCTTTGTTTTTAAACCATATGTATACGGCTCTTAAACCACAGAGTGATTTGTTTTATGTGGTTTTGAACTTTGTTTATTCTGTTTGGTGTTCATTGAGCATCTTCAATGTACAGGTTTATTGTCTTAGTGAAATTTGGAAATTTTTTGGCCATGTTTTATCAATTTTTTGCCCCCCCCCTTCTTTTTCCTCCTGACACACAATCTGCCCATATAATAGACTATGTGATATCATCTCACAGGCCACTGATGCTCTGTCCATTTTTTTTTTCAGCCTTTTCGTTCTCATTTTTTTTTTTTCAACGTTTATTTATTTTTGGGACAGAGAGAGACAGAGCATGAACGGGGGAGGGGCAGAGAGAGAGGGAGACACAGAATCGGAAGCAGGCTCCAGGCTCTGAGCCATCAGCCCAGAGCCCGATGCGGGGCTCGAACTCACGGACCGCGAGATCATGACCTGGCCGAAGTCGGAAGCCCAACCGACTGCGCCACCCAGGCGCCCCTCGTTCTCATTTTAGATGTCTTCAAGCCAACCGCTCTTTTCTTCTGCCATGTAATCTGCTATCAGTTTTTCAGGTTCTCTACTTTCCATCTCTAGAAATTCCATCTTGGATCTTTAGAAATCTATTTCTCTCCTTAACATGCTCACTTTTTCTCTTCCTTATGAAGCATAGTTAAAATAGCTGTTCGAATGTCCTCAGATGCTAGGTCCCATCATGTTTGTCATTTCTGGGTCTGTAATGATTGATTTTTCTCTTGATGGTTGTCCTTAATTTCCTGCTTCTTTGAATAGCTGATAATTTTGTACTGGATGCCAGATATTTGTGAATTTACATTGTCGGTTGCTGGATTTCATATTATTCCTTTACATATTGTTGGTTTTTATTTCTGGCATGCATTTTACTTTTTTGGAGTTAGTTGGAGCTCTTGGGGCCTCTTGGAGGCTTACTTTTTTTTTCCTTAGGGAATTTTTATGTATTTAATTTATTTAGTTTTTAAAGTTTATTTATTTTGATAGAGAGCACAAGTGAGAAAGGAGCAGACAGAGAGGGAGGGAGAGAATCCCAAGTAGGCTCCACACTGAAGTGTGTGTGTCTGTGTGTGTGTGTGTGTACACATCCTCTTTATACATTCATTTATCAATGGACACATGGTTTGCTTGCATACCTTGTGCTGTTAATAATGTTGCAATATACACAGGTATGCAGATATCTTTTCGAATTAGTGTTTTCATTTCCTTTATGTAAATACCCAGTAGTGGAATTACTGGATCATACGGCATTAAAAAAAATTTTTTTTTATGTTTATTTATTTTTGAGAGAGAGCGTAAGTGGTAGGGGCTGAGAGAAGGAGACAGAGGATATGAAGTGGGCTCTGTGCTGAGAGCAGTGAGCCCAATATGGGGCTCGAAGTCGAAAACTGTAAGATCATGATCTGTGCCAAAGTCAGATGCTTAACCGGCATCCTGACATTTTTATTTTTAATTAGAGGAACCTCCATACTGTTTTCCATGGTGGCTGTACCAACTTATTCCCACCGACAGTGCACGAGGGTTCCTTTTTCTCCACACCCTCACCAACACTTGTTATTTTTTGTCTTTTTGATTCCAGTCATTCTGACAGGAATAGGTGATACATCATTTTAGTTTTGATTTCCATTTCTCTGATTAGTAATGTTGAGTGTCTTTTCATGTGTTTGTCATTTGTGTGTCTTCTTTACAAAAATT